TTTAGCGTATGGCAATTTGATACACAACATTATCACATATATGTTACAATCTAACATCTAATGTATTAATATATTCAATCGACGCTGGTGTTGCAGAGGCGAAGTCTAGAGGATCTCCATAATACTTCCTCCGGCAATCATATTCTGGATGGTCTGTTTCTCGGCGCCGCAGTCGCACTCAGCAGAGGTTCTCATCCTCCATTTATAAAGGGAATCTGCGCAGACTCCATGACCCGTTCTTATCCTGTTAAGAGTTGATTATGATTTTCGGGGGAGGTCAAAACCTGGTGGAGTTTCTGTGATGCATGGTGTGTTTCTCATTATTAGGTTCGGTCTGTCGCTCTGCATGTTCTTTCACTGGGAGTTCATTTGGAAATTGTTGGAACTCAAGTTTATTGCATCTCTAGTCGGAGGTTTTCTGGAGCGCAATCGATGTGAATTAGCGTCGGCGACATATGTGTGTATAGGTAATTGCGGGTTGTTAAGCAGCTTTTGGAATTCTCTAAGCAGAGCATGCTGACGACGAAGATTAGGTGGAGGTATATGGCTCAGTAATGGAAGCCTCTCCACAGGTGTAGACTTGATCGTTCCAGATATGAGACGCATGGCGACATTGAGCTGGGTATCTATAATTTTTGTGTGAACGCTATTCAGCCAAACAGGAGAGCAGTATTCAGCTGCGGAGTATACGAGTCCAAGGGCTGAACACCGAAGTGTACCTGCTGATGAGCCCCATGTAGTCCCGCAAAGCTTCTGTATGATGTTGTTACGGGTTCTCAGCTTTGCTGCGGTGTTCTCAAGATGTTTCTTAAAGGAGAGTGTTCTGTCCAGGGTGACGCCGAGGTACTTGGGATTATAGTTGTGCGTGAGCAGTTGGTTATCAATGTATACTTTAAGTTTTGTGTGGGCCATTTTGTTGTTCAGGTGAAAACAGCTAACCTCGGTTTTTTTGGGGTTAGGTTTAAATCTCCATTGTTTAAAGTACTTAACCAGGCGTTCCAGATCTTCCGTTAGGATTGCCTCGGAGTTTTGTATTAAGGAGCTTTGAGTTGCAAGTGCCCAGTCGTCTGCATATCCAGATTTTTTAGATCTGGTAGGGGGCATATATATATATATATATATATATATATATATATATATATATATATATATATATATATATATGTTAGTTTTGATATTTCCGCGGGAGCTGTATATTATATCAATTGTATTCCGGGTTTGACTCCGCGTTAAATGTTGTTGGTTTTGATAAAAACCGTTTTGACGACGTTTCGGCAAGATCTCACTTGCCATTTTCAAGTCTCTCTGGATGGTCTGCTTCTTGTCGATGTTCGAGTGGAAGTACTTCCACTCGAACATCGACAAGAAGCAGACCATCCAGAGAGACTTGAAAATGGCAAGTGAGATCTTGCCGAAACGTCGTCAAAACGGTTTTTATCAAAACCAACAACATTTAACGCGGAGTCAAACCCGGAATACAATTGATATAATATATATATATATATATATATATATATATATATATATATATATATATATATATATATATATCAGCAAAACCCCGTAATAACCGTTTTTGTTATAGAGAGAGTATACTGTACTTAAAGCACGGATAACTAACATGTTATGGCATATAAGACAAAATAAATGATTTTTCTTCAAATTTTTTCTGAACACCTTATTTTCTTCATTAGTTACTTATATATCAAGTGATAAAAGTAATTGTAAACCAGCAACGATCGATAAAATCTTCTAAACTACAATATATCTAGTTGTTGCGATATAAATAAATCAAATATTGTAAAATTGGAACAAGAATTCCAAGAATACCTAATACATAAGCTTTGAGCTGAGAGTTTAAAAACATTACATTTAACTTGTGTACAACGTTGATACACTCTAGAGGCAACCACGTCCAACAAATGATATTTTAATATCGAAATATATTAGAAGATCATCCACTTAAACTAATTAAAAAATATCACATTAGCACAACCAGAAATTTTTTTAATACCTTAGGTAGGTAAAATTGTACGCGTCTTAAACGCGAAAGTATGCCACTGATTAAAGAGTAAATACAATTGGTCTAAATTCTTGAATTAATTGAGTCCAAACTGGAGCCGACTTTTTCTTAACACGACCAATGAGTCCCTGCCCCGAATGGTACTTAAAATTCCTTCTTAAGTATTTTTAACAAATTTCTTTCACCTTTCTTATCCATTTTAAGATTTTTCTGTGTATTTTTCATAATACCGGGTGTTTCAAAAAAAGGTAACCCCGTCTCTAGGGTAGGTAAAAAACTGAAAAATAATTGGGGTTTGCTTAGTAAAAAATTTTTTTACGATTTTGCCGAAACTTCTGGCAACATTGTAATGACATTTTATACGAATATGTTTTGGAAGCTGATACATCCCATGAATTTGTTTTTATATCTGATTCTCATAGAGGGCGCTAGTTACAAGGATCGTACTAAGTATTAGTCAATATAACTTTTTAAGAGTATAATTATTAATCAAAATTTCAAGTAAACTTAAACATCATTCAATTTTACACGAAAAAGGTACTCTTGATAAAACTCGATACTGTTTACCGTTTTCGGAATATTTTGATTTGAAAATTATGATGTATTAATTGATGCTGGTGGTAATGATAAAGTTCCAATAGGATATACCTCTATTTTCTCCAAGTGTGCCATGGAAATCTAACATTTATTGATTGTTATGACGATAAATCAACAATAATTAGAGTTTTGAAACCTTGTTACTTGTAAAATCAAATCAAAATGTACTCAAATGTTGTATACACTTACATGTTATTAACCTTAAACGAATGTTTAGGATGTTCTAGTGCAGCTGTGACACGTTATGCAGAAAAGTTTCCTAGAAGAAACTTACCAAGTAAAAAAACATTTAGAGCCATTGAACGACGTTGTCGAGAAACTGGGAATGTGAGACCAAATAAAATAAATTCTGGTAGACCAAGAACAATTAATAAAGAAAATATTTTAAATTTACTTGATCAAGATCCAACAGTTAGCGTAAGGAATATAGCAAGACAAACAAATACTTCTTCTTCGAGTACTTGACGGATACTAAAAGAACAGTAATTACATCCTTATCATTACAGACAAGTCCAAGAGCTCTTGCCAGATGATCTACCGGTTAGAGTGGATTTTTGTGAAACATTGCAACAAAGGACAGCCCACAATACAAATTTTTTAAAATGCATTCTTTTAACGGACGAGGCCACCTTTACGCGACAAGGTATGTTTAACTCCCATAATGCACACTACTGGTGTGATGAGAATCCACGAATCAAAAGGGTATCACATTACCAACACTCATTTAAAGTTAATGTTTGGGCAGCAACTTTAGGTAACAAATTAATAGGTTATCATATTCTATCAGGAAATTTAAATGGTAATATGTATCTTGATTTTTTAAACAATTCCTTATTCGAGATATTAGAAGATTTAACGCTAAATGAGCGAATATCTTTATTTTTTATGCACGACGGAGCTCCACTACACTTTGATAGAAGGTGTCGTAATTGGTTGAGTAATCATTTTCCGAATCGATGGATTGGTTGAGGTGCAGTAGCTCCGATTCATTGGCCTCCTCGGTCATGCGATTTTAACCCTTTGGACTACGCAGTTTGGAAGGTAAATTCACGCCAAGAATTGGAAGAAAGAATTCAACGTCAATTTAATGACATCATAGCTGATCCCCTACCGTTTAGAAGGTTAATGGAATCTTTAGAAAAAAGAATAGACTTGTGTATTCGCGAAAACGGAGGGCATTTTGAACAGTAATTGAATTTTATTTTATGTTCTTAGTCATTAATTTAATTTTTTTCTTGTGAATTTTGTTTAATTACTAACTATTTTATACCAGCATCAATTATTATTTCATAATTTTCAAATCAAAATATTCCGAAAACGGTACACAGTATCGAGTTTTACCAAGAGTACCTTTTTCGTGTAAAATTGAATGATGTTTAAGTTTACTTGAAATTTTGATTAATAATTATACTCTTGAAAAAAGTTATATTGACTAATACTTGGTACGATCCGTGTAACTAGCGCCCTCTGTGAGAATGAGATGTAAAAACATATTCATGGGATGTATCAGCTTCCAAAACATATTCGTATAAAATTTCATTACAATGTTGCCAGTAGTTTCGGCAAAATCGTAAAAAATGCGTAATTTTTTTTTCTTCAATGCTCTGTATCTTGAAAACGGATGGCGTTACAAAAATTTTTTACCAAGCAAACCCCAATTATTTTTCAGTTTTTTACCTACCTTAGAGACGGGGTTACCTTTTTTTGAAACACCCTGTATATCGCTGAGGATCCACTATAAGTCATTTGTTAACTTCTGTACGATAATAAACATAAGAGGTCACAAGATATATTTGCAAATTGTGAGTTTCTCTATATATTGGTGTATACACTACACATCGAAAGTTACTATTACTGTCAAATTATTTTAAATGAAATCATATGGCAAGTAATAGATCATTTGAAACATCGTGTTCTAATTAAATATCTCGTCAAAATCGCTTGCGTACTCTTAGCCACCTCAAGACACGTACTCTCAGTTCTTCTCTAATATCCTCGCTTCTTTCATATTTTCATTCGTTCTCAATAGCCTTTTTGTTGTTCATTTCTAGAGTTTATTGCGTACATGAGATGCCCAAGGCAAGTTGTATAAATTCTATTCTTGCTCTTTGTACTTGTCATTTTGTTTGTCCATAAAATATCTTTAAGATAATCATTGATGCTCTTATTGCTTAATGCAGTATGTTCTAACTTTAGAAACATAAAGCTGAGGAGCTTGCTAGTTTTCTTTGCTAGAGTTATTTTATATTCAAGGTTATCAGACTTTATATTGCCAATAAGTACATAAAACTCAATATTAATCAGCAACTGACTTCCATCTCCCTAAAATGTATCAACTTATTCCACTAAAAATTTTTAACACCTAAAAAGTGAAAAAGATTTAATCGTCTTCTTCATCTTCATCATCAGAAATATACCTTTTCTGACGTTTTCTCCTACCACTAGCACCGATACTATTGAGCTTTCTGCTCTTGAGCTTAATTTTCATTTTCACCGTGGACTCTGCCTCGGGCTTTTTAACAACTGGCTCGGTATCAGACTTACATTCCTCTTTCTCTTCTTCTACCTCCGATTCTCCTGCGTCGGTTTCGATGCGCTGTTTGGCGTTGCAGAACACCGACTGGAGCACGATGCTGTCTTCGTGGATCAGGGAGGCTTCTTCGTTGTAGATTTGAGCGTTTTGACAAAGCAGCATGAAGTCCCGTTCAAGGTCTGCAAAGTCGGTGTACTACAAAAATAAACTTTTATAATTTATTTTTTATTTTCAACGGGCTGCTGCCCAATAAGATTAACAATGTTTACAATGTATACAATAAAACAAAATAAAGTATAAATATCACAAACTTAATCACGTAATTTAGTGTTACACATCAAAATGACCTATTCATAAAAAAATCTAGATCTGGGTAAATATTTGCCCATCATAGTTGGTTGTGTGAAGTGGAACATAAAAAGTTTGGTTTACTCGTGTTCTACGAAGAGGTACATACAGATCAACCTGGTCAAGTTAGCTAAGGACACAAGACTGTAAAATTAATTATGCCATAAAGTATCTTTGCATCTTTAATTAATCGTAGGTCATACAATGGGAGAATACCAAGTCGGGTTTCAATTTAATCATAATTTACTTGATTATATGCTACATATTTCAAGAACTTGTGTTGAAGTGTCTCAATTTTTGATATGTAAATATTATAACATGGTGACCAGTCACAAGAACAATACTCTGGGTGGGATCTTCTGTATTATTGATCTTTAAATCGTCTGCAAAAAGAAGAGGTGAACTGTGCTGGAAGCAGTGGTGTATATCATTGATGAATATGTTAAATAACAGGGGTCCCAAATGAGAACCCTGGGGTACTCCTGAATGAACCTTAATCTCACTGGAAACAAAATCCCTGATACTCACCATCTGAACTCGGTCAATCAAGTATGTTCTCAGCCATCTAATAAGTGGCCCATGAAAACCCATTCTTTTAAGTATAGCTATTAAAATATTATCAAAGGCCTTGGATAAATCAGTGTATAGGACATATACCCTACAGCCCCTCTCTATGGCCTTCCTCAGGAAGTCCACAAACACTAGTATGTTCATTAAGTTGATCTGCTATTCTGAAATCCCAATTGTTGGTCTACTAGCTGTTTTTCAAGTGAATCTTTTAGTCACATATAAAATATTCAAATATTTTTTTATTATACTAATGGGCCTGTAGTTATTCACCAATTAATTATCTCCGGCTTTAAAAATAGGTGTTAAAAAACTATTTGTCCAGCATTCTGGAAATTCACCCTTATTTAAGGATAGATTAAAAATGTAAAAAAGAGATCTGGATAATATAAAACAACAATTATTGAGAAATCTGACAGGCAATCCATAAGGACCAGGACCCTTATTCACATCTTCTTCTTCTTTGTCAACCATTTTCCATCCACTCCTGAATGTAGGTCTTTCCCAATTTCTCCCATCTTTCTCTATCTTGCGCCAATCTAATCTACTGTTTGCCTACCACTGCTCTTATGTCATCTACCCATCTTTTTTGAGACCTTCCCATGCTTCTTGTTGTTGTCCATGGTCTCCATTCTAGAATTCTCCGTGTCCACCTGTTGTCATTATACCGGGCGACGTGACCTGCCCAGCGCCATTTCATTTGTGTAATTTCTTCCACAATATCCCTAATCTTCGTTCTACGTCTTATCTCGGTGTTTCTAATCTTGTCTCTTAGTGATATTCCAAGCATGATTCGTTCCATTGCTCTTTGCGTTGTTTCTAATTTTTTAGCAGATTTTTTGGTAAGGGTTACTGTCTCCAAGCCGTAGGTACAAACTGGTAGTATGCATGTGTTATACACCTTTTTTCTTTAAGTTTACAGGAATGGAGGTGTTTTTCAAGATATATGCTAGTTTGCCGAAAGCGCCCCATGCCAGTTGTGTTCTTCTTTTAATTTCAGCATCTTGATTTGGTTTTCCTAGTTTGATAACATGACCTATGTATACATAATGTTCAACATTTTCTATGGTATGATTTTGTATTGTTATATTTGTCTGGTCTCGGCTCAGTATTTTTGTTTTGCTGTAGTTCATTTTCAAGCCTACCGTTCCTCAAACTGCATTTAATTGTTATAACATATCATTTAGTTTCTGGATATTATCGGCTATTAAAACTATGTCATCTGCGAATCCCAAGTGGTTTAAGTATGATCCGTCGACGTTGATACCCTTATTGTTCCATTCCAGTTTCTTAAAAATATCTTCTAGAGCAAGGGTAAATAGTTTGGGAGAGATGGGTATACACAAATGCTCTTGCAGATCGCGGTGTAGGAGGGAAATAGACAAACAGAAGGAAGTTTTATTTCGGAGATCCTGGATAAATAAAATTAACGTAACCCTGACAAAAAGAGGAATGAGAGATAATTATTTGGGAAAAGGCGTTGAAAATTGTAATTACTTTTAATATAAACAGAATAATGAATAAAATTAAAAGTGAAGTGCATGGTACTTAACAGAATATATCAATGACACAAAACTAACGAAAAGCTGGGATAAACAATATAATATATTTTCTAAATTAAAACTTTCTTACCTTGCCATCTTCGATCCTATTTAGGATTTTATTCATATCAATTGGTTTCTTGATAATTTCGTAATAATCTGGATAATCTTTTTTCGGTGGTAGTCTAATAAAGGGTTCACTTAACAATCTACCATCGCTAAAATATCAACAGTGATTTAATAAACAAGTGTTTTAATCGAAGCGATTAATAATCAAGACACTCTAACGCGTAAGCGGCAGCGAACGTGTTAATGTTTGATATTATTAATTGCCATTTTAATCCATGGGTGGTTCCACAACTTTTCTATCGACTGCATTTTGTGTAAAATGACCTTATAATTCATTGATATAATTTTATATGTACAGAAATCGAGTAGTGTGCTAGTATTTATGAATATATTCTCGAATCAAATGTATTACTTTACCTATCGGTGTATCTTGTAACTATCGCCATTAACCTCTTCATCTGTTTCTTTATCTTCGTATCGCCAATTTGTAATTTAGTCTTTCTCTTGATGATACTATCTACTTCACAGTCAGATTCATCACCACGTTTTCGTCTTTTACGGCCTTTCTTTTTCTTGATCTTTTCTTCTTCCTCGTCTTCTTCTTCGTAATCCCCGGTATTGTCTATTGCCTACAAATTATTAATATTTAAGAAAATTATAGCGATAATATATCTATTAAAGTTTGTTGAAAACGACATATAAGCTGTTAAAAATTTTCTTTTTATGTTTCTTCACCTTTTGATCTTCCTCATCTTCTTCGTTTCCAGTGCGGGGGACAGCCTAAAATTATTAATATTTAAGAAAAAGTAAGCAGTAAACCTATTAAAATGTTCTGTATAAGGAAAAGTAATATTACATTAAAAATGTCTACGATATATGAGTTGTATAGCCATAGGGCCTGTTCACTCATGATACTATGATAAGAAGATAGGATATTGCGCATAAGTCGTGACGTCATTGGAGAGTTGCACGTTCGAAATGTCAGTTTTTTGTATGTGTCAATAAATAATCGTTAATAGTTTGGAGATATCCTTATGTGTACGTTTATTGTAATTATTGAACCTCTTAACTTATTTTCGTCTTGTTATTTCATCACAGAATGCATACAAATCCCATTTAACTTTAACAAGAATTCAAATTCTACTCTCCAATGACGGCATGCGCGAACACGATCGATTTTGTGCTATGGAAAGATCCTTTCTTGTTAGTCATAGTATCATGTGTTCACTAACAAAAAATTAAATTAAATTTCACTAACAGCAGAATTTATTTTGTAAGGTCAAGATAGCTCTGGACAATTGTCGGACATTTTGGTCGCTTGTCAATGGATTTAGATTTGGTTAATGGATTTAGACAGTGCTAGTCAAAAGCCCGTTCCCCCCTCGTATCTTTTGAACGGTTATTGTTATAATAGTGAAATTTGGAGGGAGGTAACAAACAGACGTAGGCTTCCCAAAGGTTTTTTGACAAATAACCAAAGATGGACGTTAGAATTATTATTAATTAAATGCCAAACTAGAATTTTAATATTTATTTAAATTATTCGTCAAAATAATCCTAAATCCAAACAAAATTAGTATGATTAAATAAGTAGGTATATTAAAATAATTGTAGTTTCGCATTTAATTAATAAATATACTAACGTTCGCCTCTGGTTAATTGTCAAAAAAGTTGACGTTGACATAAAAACAACTAGAGAATTGAAAAACGTCAACTTTTGACTAGTATCCAGAGGCGGGGGTTTTAAAATTTATTAATTAAATGCGAAACTACAATTTTAGTATTTATTTAATTTATTCATCCAAATGAGCTTAAATTTAAATAAAATTATCTGTCACATTGGGGCTGTAGCGTCATCTGGCACTATTACGTCACCAGTTATGACTAGTTGAGAAGCCTACGTCTGTTTATTACCTTCCTCCAAATTTCACTATTATAACAATAAACGTTCAACAGATAAGAGGGGAAGGGACTTTTGACTAGCACTGTATAGACCACACATCAGTGGGGGGACTTATAGATCCCAGCGACAGTTTCAATTTGCTTGATGTTCCGTTTTAGATTATATTATTCGATATCGGAGTTTATCGACTATAATGCACATGTTTCTCTACTAAAGTGATATTGGCAACGTTGGATGGCTCAGTTCGTTCGTAAGTACGACGCAGTCAATACGTGGTTCGTACTTGTCGACGTTTTTACAGTTAAAACAACTTGTTTTCGACACAATCGTAGGGTAAGTTTGTTGTTTAGTGTATGTAATTATTCTACACGTTAATCTGGAATTCATTTACTTTTGTAAATTGGCAAACTTACATCAGAAATCACATGGGATATATGTGTCCCACTAGGTTTGTTGGACGGGCATTTTATATCCCATTGGATTTTTTCAGCATGTCAAGAAAAAGAAAGCTTACTCAAAAGGAATTGCAAGAACTGGCTGACAATATAAACGACATATCTTCATGCGATGACATATATGCAGAATCTAATATACCTTCAGAAGACGACGAAGACCCATTCCACGACAGTGATCATTCTTCTGATGAGTCATATATGGCATCAGATGATTGTCCTGACAATGAAGAAAAACACACTCGCTCAACAGATGTAAGAAAGCCATTATCAATAAAAAGAAAAGAGAACTCCCTATGGTATGGACATCAGTCGCAGCTGATCATAAACCCAGATTTGCTGTTCCTCCTGAAATACCTTGTGTAATTGATGAATCAATTAATATGAATTCGTCACGTCTAGAAATTTTCTTGAAAGTGTTCCCTCGAAGTTTATTTATTTTTATTGCGGATTGTACAAACGAGAGAATTAAAATGTATAATCGCAAGGAAGGAAAGTCTAAACCGCTTACTGATGTTGGTGAAGTAATGATTACTATTGGTTGTACTCTAATAATGTGCTACAACAGAATGCCTAAACTGAGACATTATTGGTCATCGCATCCATCTGTCGGAAATAAAACGATAAGTACTGCAATATCAAAAAACAGATGCTTATTCATTCTCTCCAAACTTTACTTCAATGGCCCAAAGAAACCCGAAAATTGCAGTAAGATATATTATGTAAAAGAACTGCTCTCCTGTTTCAAGTTCACATTTCAGAAATATCGAACCGACAGTACCAGACAATCAATCGACGAGACTATGATGAAGTTCAAAGGTCGGTCGTCCCTAAAACAATACGTACCTCTAAAACCAGTGAAAAGGGGTATAAAACTATGGTGCAGGTGTGATTCTAAGACAGGATACACAAATGATTTTAACGTTTACTCTGGAAAAAAAGTTAAACAAGCTGATGGAACTCTAGATGAAAGAGTAGTAAAAACGCTTTGTGAATCGATACGTATTGATAATGTTGTTGTGGCTTTTGACAGGTTTTTTACCTCTGTACGTCTAGTGGACACTATTAAATTTACTCTAGTTGGTACAGCCATTATAAATAGACGGAACATGCCTAAGGAGTTTTCTATAAAAAGCAATATGAACAAGGGAGACTCTGTATTTCTTACAAATGAGTTCCAAACCCTAGCCACAAAATGGCAAGATATCAGTCAAGTATGCTTGTTGAGTAACTGTCATAAGAGTAGTTGTACAACTATTCAATGGAAAAATAAAAGTGGGACCAAAGTGGACGTTCCTTGTCCTGCTGCTGTTGCTTTATACAACGAAATTATGGGTGGTGTGGACCTGGCTGACCAAATGAGTGGAGTGTATGAAATGGATAGACGATCCTGTAAATGGTGGAAAAAAGTTTTCTACCAATTGCTTATGGTGTCAGTGGTAAATCCTCCTCCTCCTAAGTGCCTTCTCTATTGAGGTTGGCGATCAATATGGCAAATTTCTCTCTGTTCTGGGTTTGATGGATTAAGTCATTTCCTGTTGTGTGAGTCCAATATCTGATGTTTCGGAGCCAGGATTTCTTCTTTCTTCCTATACCTCTTTTACCCTCGATTTTGCCTTCTAATATTACCTGGGGCTGCTCAAATTCCTTATGGCGCATTATGTGTCCTAGATATGACGTCTTTCTAATTTTGATTGTATTTTGATTTTGATTGTGGTTGTTTTGATTTTACAGTGGTAAATAGTTAGGTAATATATAATGATTTACATCGAACACGCAAGAAAACACCCCTTTTAGAAACTTTGTTTGAGCTATCAGAAGATCTCATTTCTAGAGGTAAAACCACTACACAAGTAAAACTTAAAAAAATAAGTGTAGGTAGACCTTCAAACAGATCACGAAATAAAAATGTAGGAGACCACATGCCGATTGAAACTGCTAAGAGACGGGGCGTTGTGTTGGTTGCTCAAGAATGAGTAAAGAAAGAAGAACCACAACCATCTGCACAATGTGCGATGGAGGTTGTTTCACATTATATCACACATATTAAGTTACATGGAAGTATTTTTTATGCATATTTTTGTAAATCTTTCAGAAATAAAGTGTTCATTTATTTGTGGCTGTAATCTCCCAATATACCCTACGGGACATAATAATCCTAACCAACATTCCCATTGGGACATATATATCCCACTATTTTTTTGTTTTTTTTATGTAAAAATTTGATTTGGTACACTTTAAAAACCTTCTATGGTTACCAGTACAAAGAAATAATTAAAGTCGAGATCGTAACAACACAAAAAATTGGGTCCCAAAGGGTTGATGGATTATTTTGAGGATTAGTCTTCCCAGCTTAATGGAGCGAAAATTTGGGAAAATATATATCGTCATGTTCAGTATGTTTAACTAAATTTTACCTTTAACCATTCTTTCTCCGTTAAACTGTCCGTATAATCCACTTCTTTTCGATGTCTACTTCCTCTTCCCAGGATACTGTCATTATCTTCGTAGTTCCAGCAATCCACTTCGTCATCTTCTTTGATTAGCCAGTCAGGTAACTCACTTATTTCCAATAATCTAGATTTTCTGGCTGATCCGAGCTTAGCGTCCTCTCTTCTTCTTTCGAGATCCATTTTCTGGAAGAGTTCGAACTCGTTTTCAGACCTGGCGATCATCTGGTTTACAGTTTCATCGTCAGGAACTTCGTTTTCTTCCTAAAAATAAAAGAAATAACCAAATGAAGACCGTAATATATTTTAACAGTTAGTTATGCCCGCATCAAAGCTTCACAAATTTTGAATTATATATTTGAAATATTTAAAGACTGTACCTCCTCATCATCTCCGTCTTGATGTAAAATATGCTGAAGAAATTGTTGTCTTTCAGTTCCCGTTGATTTTTGGTCGAACATACCAGCCTGGATAACTTTCTCGTCCATATTTAACTTATATCTAGCTGCAGCAAGAATGCGTTCTTCCACAGAGTTGACAGTCATCAAGCGTAACACTCTGACCTCGTTCTGTTGACCAATTCGGTGAGCTCGATCCTGAGCTTGCAAATCCTGTAAAAATAACAAGATTATATATAGAATAAGAAAAAAACTATGAAATCATATATAACCTGATGAGGATTCCAATCTGAGTCGAATATGATCACGGTATCAGCAGTTTGCAAATTTAAACCCAAACCTCCAGCTCTGGTGGATAAAAGAAAAATAAAGTATTCACTCTGCTTATCGTTGAATTTCTTAAGCAAATCGCCTCTGTCTTCCGCTTTGGTAGTTCCGTCCAATCGGAGATAACCGAAGCCTCTATAACTTAAATAATCTTCCATTATGGTCATCAATTGAGTCATTTGGCAAAAGAGCAACACTCGGTGGTTGGTAGCTTTCAGTTTTGGCAAGATTCGATCTAGAAGTTCGAATTTTCCTGAAGCTCTGTATATATCTGGTCTGAAAAAAAACTTCTAAGTCAGTTTGTGCACCTATTTAAACATTCAAAATGTAAGAATTAATATAACTAATATAATTAATATAACTAATACATCTCTCACTCTTCTTTGCCACATATATTTCTTATCCGATCCCTTTGAATAGAAAGCCAAAAAACTTCAGAGGTTGTTACTGCTTCTTTTAATCTTTTCTTGTCTCTTCCCATAAGAACTAAATCATCTGCATATGCAACTATTTGTGTTGAGGAGTAGGCTATAGTTCCTTTAATTTTGCTGGCCTTAACTGTTCCTTCTACTGCTATGTTGAATAACGTGGTTGACAGAGAGTCGCACTCCTGTTTCTATTGCAATTGATTTTGTGCTACCTTCTTCTGTTGTTACTTTAGCTCGAGCTCCATCCATGGTCATTTTTGTTAATCTGATTAATTTTTCTGGTATATCTTGATATTTAATTTCAATAAATAATTTATTTCTTCCAATACAAACAAAGGCTTGTCTGAAGTCTACGAACAGGATGTGCAGTTCTGTGTTGGGTTCGAGACATTTTTCGATTGTTTGTGTAACTATGTGGATCGCATCTGTAGTGGATCTGCCTTCTCTGAATCCTTGCTGGTAGTCCCCAATTTTTTTCTCTGTGAATTGAGTGAGTTTTGTTTGATGAGGGCTGGTAGAATTTTATATGTTGTGCTCAGTAGATATAGTGCTCTATAGTTGTCACAGTTACAGAATCGCCAATACTAATACTAAAGCCCTAATACTAAAGCCCGCCCCTGCTGACTTCATTCATCAGTTCGTGGAATATTTAAGCTGGATTTTCACAGATCCGATATCCGATGACACGAAATACGAAATTTTTTCGTACGAATATATTTGATTGTCATATCCGAAATTTTTTGACATATATGTCATATGTGTGATTATTGGATCGATTGATATTTATTTCAATGAACTATCAATAAATGTTAAGCTGGATTTTCATAGATCCAATATCCGATGACACGAAATACGAATTTTTTTCGTACGAATATATTTGATTGTCGTATCCGAAGTTTTTTGACATACATTTCATATGTATGTGTTATGTGTCAGATTATTGGATGGATTCGATGGATTGATATTTATTTCAATGCACTGTCAATAAATCTTAGCTATTTTGTTTAATATAATATATATTGTATTGAGCTACGGTCTCGTCGTTTTTGCCTCACATAGCGTAGAAGACCCAAAAGCAACACTTTATTCATTGCATTTTTATTTAATAATTAGGTATTTGTCCCATTTTAAATATATTTCAAATATTAAACATAAACACTTCACAAAAATAAGGTTAAGGTTCAAGTAAAATGTCAACAATGTCAAAATTCATCCGATTTTCGTGTAAAAGTTAAAATATTTTTAACTTCTTCCGATGACTTTTAGTTTCGTACGAAAATCCCACCAGTCATTTTGCAACCAATGAAATTTTCTGAAATTTATATCGTATCATCGTACCGTCGGATATCGGACCTGTGAAAATCCACCTTTAGGCAGTGGAAACAGATACTTCTGGGACTTGTATAACACACAGGGCCGCAATCAGGGGTATGTGACTCACAACAATATTTTAAAGTTATTTCTAATATTTTCATTTTTATGAAAATTTGTAGTTTATATAATTTTTATTTATATACCATACTCTATTACTCATATGACTACTATGGGGTTCAGACCATAACCCCATAGTAGTCACATTACGAACCAAATTAAAACTGGTTGAAAAACCCACACAAAGTAAAATTGATATTAAGAGATTAAGGGAAACACAAACAAAGGAACAAACTGTAAAAACTCTTACTGAAAATATACGTAATGCCCAAGAACTGAATAAAAGTAGCTATAACATTGATCAGAAATGGGAAAATATAAAAGCAGCAATAATTAAAACAGCAAATGAAAACTTAAAACCAAAGAATAGAAAACATAAAGATTGGATGACTGAAGAAATACTACTATTAATGAATGAAAGAAAATCATTCAAAACAAAAAATCCAATTAAATATAATGAAACTGATCGATTAATAAAAAAGAGAATAAAAGAAGCTAAGGAGAGAATGTTACATGAGCAGTGCCAAGAACTAGAAGAAATTGAGAAAAAATATGACTTTTTTAACATGCATAAAAGAATTAGAGAATTAACAAAATGAGAAAAACACTTCAAACTAGGCAACTAAGAGATGAAAAGGGTGCACTTATAACAGATATAAACCAAAAAATGCAGAGATGGACACAATATATAGCACAACTATTTGAAGACAAAGAAAGAACAGAAGCACCAAAAGAATTTAAGGATGATACTGGGCCTGACATTATACGAGAAGAAATTGAATATGCAATGAAACAAGCTAAAGATGGTAAATCTCCCGGGCCTGATGAAGTTCCTATCGAATTACTTAAAATTGTGAATACTGAATCTATTGATCTTCTTTTGGATCTATTTAATACCATATATAGAACAGGTATAATACCTAAAGAATGGCTCCAATCAACATTCATACTGCTTCCCAAAAAAGCCAATGCAAAGGAGTGCAATGAACATCGCACCATAGCCTTAATGAGTCATGTCTTGAAATTGTTTTTAAAAGTAATTCACAATAGAATACATAAGAAATTAGATGAAGGCATAAGTAATACACAAATGGGATTTAGGAAAGGTCTGGGAACACGAGATGCACTGTTTGCAGTAAGTGTTCTTTCGCAGAGATGCTTAGATATTAATCAGGAAGTATATGCCTGTTTCATTGATTTTGAGAAGGCATTTGACAGAGTGCAGCATAATCGACTTAAAGAAATTTTATTAAATAAAAACATAGACAGTAGAGACATTAGAATCATCTGTAACCTCTATTGGAATCAAACAGCAAAAGTGAAAGTTGAAAACGAACTGACCAAGGATATCCAGATTCGCCGTGGGGTCCGCCAAGGGTGTATTTTATCACCCTTGTTATTCAATTTATACAGTGAAGCCATCTCAGAATTAGCGCTTGCCGAGATCAGTGAGGGCCTTATAATAAACGGTGAGCCACTTAATAACATAAGATATGCTGACGACACCGTCCTTTTGGCAGGAACACTAGAAGAACTGCAACACCTTGCTGAACAACTAAATATATATTGCAACGATTATGGACCAAAAATCAATTTGAAGAAAACCAAGTTCATGGTATTTACAAAAGCACAAAACATCAAAGTTAAGCTAGTACTAGATAATACAGAAATTGAACACATATCTTCGTACAAATACCTTGGAGCATGGATCACAGAAGATACTGATCAGACAAAAGAAATAAGATGCCGCATTGAAATTGCGCGGTCAACTTTTAATAGAATGAGAAAACTTTTTTGTAATCGCGATATCAATATATCGCTCCGGATAAGAATGCTTCGATGTTATATTTTCTCTACCCTTTTGTATGGAGTTGAAGCTTGGACACTTAAAAAATCCAACATTAAAAACCTAGAAGCATTCGAAATGTGGTGTTATCGACGCATTTTGAAAATATCATGGATGGATCGCAAAACAAACGAACAAGTTCTCGAACAACTAGGAAAACAATGCGAAGTTTTAAATTCCATAAAGATCAGGAAATTGGAATACTTGGGGCACATCATGAGAGGTGAAAAGTACGAACTACTAAGGAATATAATGCAGGGTAAAATCAAATTTAGAAGAAGCGTAGGAAGACGTAAAATCTCGTAGCTACGCAATCTCCGTGAGTGGTTTGGATGCAGTTCAATTGAACTATTCAGGCGAGTAACCAATAAAATTATAATTGCCAGAATGATTTCCAATCTCCGATAGGAGTGGAACTTGAAGAAGAAGACCATACTCTAAATAAATAAATAAATTGTGAAGAAAGTGCAAAATCTTGGTTCATTTGAGGTAAGATCTTAAGAAAAATGTGGTTCTTTATTAATGGCTCTAATCTTACCCAGATATCACACCTCCTGCAATTCCTACGTGGTCGCAATACTTCTCTTCAATATTTTGGAACATAAACGGATGATTACACAATTTTCTTAACTGTACAATTGTGTTCATAAGAGCCTTGGCTCCACCTTTACCTTTGTTACCCTTCTCGGAACCATCGGTAAGAAGTACTCCCTTGCTTTGCATGTGCCTGTAATAGAATATGATATTATTCACAGTTTCAATATTCTCGAACATATATTCTTACTTGTACAAAACTTTTTGCAAGCCGGACATATCACACTTTATAATATATTCCACTTTATCGGGAAGTTGAGATTCCACTTCCTTCTTCAAACGTCTTAATAAGAATGGTCGGAGTACTTTGTGAAGACGGCGTATAATAAGAATAGTTTCTTCTTCATTTAATTCAACCTGAAATTAATTTTAATGATTTTTACCAAACTTCCACGATGACTTAACACTTTTTTACCTTTTCTCCAGTTGTTGCAAAAGGGGCATTAAACCATTGTTCAAAAGTGGAACAACTTTTAAAAATGGAGGGTAGAAGAAAGTTTAGAAGTGCCCATAATTCAGGGAGTTTATTTTGCAACGGTGTTCCAGTAAGAAGCAGTCGATGAGGCGCTAAATAATGAGTATTTAACACTTGCGTCAGTTTGCAATGGTGATTCTTCATTCTGTGACCTTCGTCGATTATCATGTACTTCCACGGCAACTAAAACGCAAAGAAGTCATTTTAAAACTTGTATGACTACAGTAACCCTCACTAACCTTTGCCAATACTCCTTTGTCTTTTATAACGTATTCATAGGTTGTAAGGAGTACGTTGAATTTCGTAGACCTCATTTGACTCTGGATCTGCCTTCTTCCAGCAGGTGAACCTTTGTACGAGACTACAATAACTGAAGGGGACCAT